GGAATGGACACCCCCCCTTCTACAGTCTCATAGGGAAACATCCACAGCTGGGGCTGTCAATCATAGGCTGTGTGCTGTAACCCCTCCCCTAGATCCCTTGGAGGCGGAAGTGAGTGACTCCATCCAGACAGCAGCCAGAAATCGCACTAAGTGCTTTGGAATGAGGCAAGTACACACCATAGAAGGATATGCTTGATGGATGTGTTGATGGCCATACTATCTGGCCAGACGATTCTTCACAGAATGAGATAATGTGATCAGATCTATAACAGAATTTCATTGGACAAATGCGACAAGCATTTGCCCATCCTTGACAAATACTGACCGCATTTCTTTCTATAGTAATTTTCTCATCAACAGCTCCATTTAGCAGCCATAATGCAGTATTTCATTTGAAATACCGCAAACAAAAAAAAAATACAGCACTATGGCCACTAGATGGAGCTGATGATCATAGGAAATCACTGTTATACAAAATGCAGTTGGAATTTGTGAAGGGGAATGCTTGTCACATTTTTATCAAGAAATCCTGATTTTGAGGAAGATCATCAAAACTTATTCTGGTCTGGATGGAAAATCCAATCATTAAAGTGATACTAAAGCTTTGTTTTTTTCAAAATAACAAACATGTCATAAGTACCTGCTCTGTGCAGTTTTGTACAGAGCAGCCCCGACCTTCTTCTTTTCAGGTCCCCTGCTGGTGCTCCTGGCTCCTCCCCCTCAAGCAATGCCCCCAGAAAAAAACAGCTTGCCCTGGGGACATTGCTGCGTGCTTGCTCCCGAGCCGCTGCTCTATGCATCCATAAGACACATAGTGCAGCAACGCGTTACACCACCACCCCCCACTCTCACCTCATTGGCTGGCAGTGATTGGCAGCAGCGAGAGCGAATAGGCTTCCGCTTCTGTCTCAGCCAATGAGGAGGGAGGGTCCCCATACAGCCGAGGCTACTGTGGACATCACTGGATTGGAGGGGGCTCAGGTATGGATTGGGAGGTGGCTGCTGCACACAGAAAACTTTTCACCTTCATGCATAGAATGCATGAAGGTATAAATCCTTGAGCCTTTAGAACCACTTTAAAGCTAATTCCAGGCATTCAACAACTTTGTAAAAAGCAAAATCACTCTATGAGTTAAGTCCAACATGAGTTGCTTGCCACCCTTGCGGGCTTATCTCTAATATTTATATCTGACAGGTTTATTGTGCTCCAAAAAAGCATAACTTTCTGCGATCTTACGCTGCACTCAGCCCCTTCAAGTGTTGAGTTGGTACAGCTACTATGCCCGCACCTCCCTTCCTCCTACCCAATCACAGAAGCCCTTGCATTGCATCAACTTGTTCACAAAATACAAAGGCTTCTGTGAATGGGCAGCAGAGGGAAGGGAAAGGCATAGTTGCTCTCTATGTGCTTCTCTCCTCTCTCAAAGACTGAAGTGTGAAGTGTATTCTCCTGCAGAGCCATAAACCTGTCAGATATAAATAATAGACGTAAGCCCCCAATGTGGCAGGCAGCTATTAGGACATAACTCATGGTGTGCCTGCACTTTTCACACAGTTCTGGAATTCACCTTTAATTGTGTATGGCACATTGAATAACCTTTATGACCTTCTGCCCATATTTCTCTCCTAGACAGTAAATCAATCAACAATAGGTTCAAATGTAAAATTGTTCTGCGCATGGCCATCATAAGACAAGCACAGGAAGTAAGAGGAAAATGTCCCTTTTCCTATTTTTTGATTGACAGATAAATCTTCCAAAGTGGGATAACAGATAATAATAAAAACAAATTATATTGAAGAGTTAGGATAGTGTAAGGAGATCTGTTGAGAATTTCTTTTCTGCCTCCATATCCAATGAAGGAGATTTGCGATCTGGGTGAGTGAATCAGAACAGGAAAAGAAGAGAAACCTCCTCTGTGAAGAAAAGAGCATATTAAACCTAACCAAGGCTGAAAGCCGTCTCTACAGAAAAACAGAGTTGGGCTATAAAAAAACAGTCAGATATGCCGGTATAATCTTACCATCCTCCAACCATTTTAATTGCCCCCTCGGACACCTGGGGATTGATTTATAAAGATTTGCATAGCCACTTGCCACGTGAAAGTGCATGTATATTCATTCTGCGTGGGTCGGGAAAAAAAAAAAGGCTATGTCCTGATCTAGTTAACCACTTGCCCTCCAGAGGATTTTCCCCAATCCTGACCAGGCCTTTTTTTGCGATATGGCGCTGCCTTACTTTAACTTGACAATTGCGTGGTCATGCAACGCCGCACCCAAATGAAATTAATGTCCTTTTTTTCCCCACAAATAGAGCTTTCTTTCCGTGGTATTTGATCACCTGTGAGTTTTTATTTTTGGCGCTATAAACAAAAAAGGCCACTGATTTTGGGGAAAAAAAACAGTATTTTTTACTTCTTGCTATTAAACATGTCCAGTAAAAAAATTTTAAAAATCTTATTTCATCGTAAATTTACACCAAAATGTATTCTGCTCCGTGTCTTTGCTAAAAAAAATCCCAATACATGTAAATTAATGGTTTACGTGACAGTTATAGCGTTTACAAATGGCGGTATATATACTGGGATTTTGTTTTCATACTAGTAATGGCGGCAATCAGCGACTTATAGCGGGACTGCGGCGGACATTCTGACACTGAGGGGAACTGACTTGGTGTCACTGACATCCACAGCGACACCAATACAGTGATCACTGGGCAGGAAGGGGTTAACATCTGGGGAGATCAAAGGGTTAACTGTGTGCTGTGGGTTTTAATAGGCACATTACTGCTGGCAGGAGAGACCTGTGTTATTACATACAGGTCTCTCCCGTCAGTGATACTCGGTGATCACCGGGGAACCTCCAGCCGGGACCTGGTGATCGACATCTGTAGCCACCAATGGTGGCATGGGTAGGGCGGCGCTCACCTTCCCTACCCGGAAATGCAAAATTATGTATGTGATTTTGCACAGTCTTGCCGCCCTGTAGCAGTACTTCTGCTATAGGGTGGACAGGAAGCGGTTAAACTTAGATCAAATACTGCATTTGTCCACTAGATGGAATGAAGTATTATAGAAATTTCTTATAAAACTTGGCTACATCTAGTGGCCAAATACAGTACTGTCCATTCAAAAATCAATGATATACATTTAAACAGCACAGAAAATAGCCTATTTACATTCGCTTTTGCATCCTTCACACAGAGCAAAAGAACTTTCAGTTAGTGGTGGACTGAAATTAAAATTCTGGTGCCGAAACCGATACTGAAATTCAGAATGTATGTGGCCGAAAACCGAACCGAAACCGAAATGTCTGCGTATATGGGGGTGGGGAGGCTCCAATTTCTTTGTATTTTTTCTACTTTCATATATATATATATATATATATATATATATATTTTTTTTTTTTTTTACTTATAATTTTATTGCTATCACATAGGGGACCAATAGTCCCCTATGTGATAGCATATGAGTGACAGGTCCTCATAGGGGGGAGGGGGTGGGGGGGGCAGTGTGTGCAAGGAGGGGGCAGGAGAGGAGCAGTGTATACAGTGAGGGTCCCTCACTGGCTGTCGGTGCCGGTTTTTAAATGCAATTAGCAGTTTTTTTTTCTTCACTATAGCTCACAGAATTAGCTGTCACTTTCCCCAGAGCTAAAGGAAACTTTGTTTTTTTTCATCTCGGGAAAAAACTAAAAGGAAACTTTGTTTCTTTCAACTCAGGGAAGAAACTAAAACGAAACTTTGTTTCTTTTAACTCGGGGAAAGAAACTAAAAGGAAACCTTGCTTCTTTTATCTCGGGAAAGAAACTAAAAGGAAAATTTTTTTCTTTTATCTCAGGAAAGAAACTAAAAGGAAACCTTGTTTCTTTTATCTCAGGAAAGAAACTAACAGGAAACCTTCTTTCTTTTATCTCAGGAAAGAAACTAAAAAGGAAACTTTGTTTCTTTTATTTCAAGAAAGCAACTAAAAGGAAACTTTGTTTCTTTTATCTCGGGGAAAAAAAAAAAAAGGAAACTTTGTTTCTTTCAACTCAGGGAAGAAACTAAAACAAAACTTTGTTTCTTTTAACTCGGGGAAAGAAACTAAAAGGAAACCTTGTTTCTTTTATCTCAAGAAAGCAACTAAAAGGAAACTTTGTTTCTTTTATCTCGGGAAAAAAACTAAAAGGAAACTTTCTTTCAACTCAGGGAAGAAACTAAAACAAAACTTTGGTTTCTTTTTTTAACTCGGGGAAAGAAATTAAAAGGAAACCTTGTTTCTTTTATCTCGGGAAAGAAACTAAAAGGAAACCTTCTTTCTTTTATCTCGGGAAAGAAACTAAAAAGGAAACTTTGTTTCTTTTATCTCAAGAAAAAACTAAAAGGAAACTTTGTTTCTTTTATCTCAGGAAAGAAACTAAAAGGAAACTTTGTTTCTTTTAGCTGGGTGGAAAGTGACAGCTAATTCTGTGAGCTATATTGAAGAAAAAGAAAAGCAGATATTTACATTTAAAAATCAGCAGACATACGGTGACAGAATCACTGTATACACTTCTCCTCTCCTGCCTTTCTCTGCCCCCCCCTCATATCTGCAGTACACACAGTCTCTTGTATTGGCACCTGTATCGACTAAATGCCGATGGGACTATTTTTGGCCGATATGTTTCGGTGGCCGAAATTTTGGTGCATCCATAGTTTCAGTGGGTGAATAGCTATGAAAATTCCTTTTTAAAAAAACCTCTTGGGATTGGCATCTGACATGAGTAATAGAGGACAAGATGGGCTTACAGCTCACTCTGTTGGTTTATCCCATTCAGTTACGGGTCAGGAAATAACTTAAATCCGACAGAAATATTTAAACTTGATAGACCACATCAAAGCTTCTACAAACTTTATTTAGCAACCATATCCAGGACCTCCTGCTAGCTTGTGTCAACTGAAGTGTTTCTATAAGGGAAAAAACGTTCCCCACATTCTGAATATGAATAATGCTGATCACCCATGTGGATTCTATTATGTCTAATCAACACGGTTTGTCTTTTGAAGCCTCTCCCGCACATGCATAGGGGCGACTGCCGATGCAAGAAGAGTCATGCTTTATCTGTGAAACATTTCCCGCATTCAACATGAATATGGCTTCTCCCCCCTCTGTGAACTTTTTCATGCTTCGTAAGACCCGTTTTATGGGAATAACATTTCCCACACTGGGAACATGAGTAAGGCTTTTCCCCTGTATGACTCCGGTGATGCGTAATAAGACAGTCCCTCCGGGTAAAACATTTCCCGCACTCTGAACAGGAAAACGTCTTGTCGGCCGTGTGAAGCCGCTGATGGATAGATAGACTACGATTTACTGTAAACCATTTCCCACATATCGAGCAAGAATATGGCTTCACCCCAGTATGAGTCAGTCGGTGTTTGTCAAGAGTGTGTTTCAGCCTGAAACTCTTCCCGCACTCGGAACACTCATGTGGCTTCTCCCCGGTATGCAACATGTGATGTTTATCAAGACTTTGCTTCAGTGGAAAACACTTTCCACATTCCAAACAGGAAAACGGCTTCTCGCCCGTGTGCGTTTTGCGATGTCGGACGAGCTGTGATTTCTGTACAAAACGTCTGTCGCAGTCAGAACACGAAAACTGCAAATCGCCGGTGTGGATTCTTTGATGCATTTGCAGCTGGGATTTATGAGGGAAACTTTTCTCGCATTCGGGGCAGGAGTATGGCTTCTCTCTCGTATGAATTATCTCATGCCGGATGAGACAGGATTTTTGGATAAAACGTTTATCGCAGATGGAACATAAAAATGGCTTCTCGCCGGCATGGCTTTTTTCGTGTCTCTGAAGGAGGGTTCTGTTAGAAAAGCGTTTCCCACAATTGCAACAGGCGGGCGGTCTTTTAACTGTGGGAATCTTTCTATCTTCGGAAGAATGCTGTGATGGATCTGTATGGTGGAGCAGAAGTGGTGCGTGGTTTGGAGCGATGGCTGTTTCTGCTGCAGAATTTGAAGTGATGCCATCCTCCTCTGAGCTCACGGGACCGCTCTCTATTTGGCAAGTTCTGAATCTTCCCTCTAAAGAAAACAAGCAATAAAAACCATTAAAGCTGAACCCCAGCCATCCCTTCGGTCTACAGGACTGCAATGGCTTACTCTGATTTCACTGCACACTGTGAGCTTCTCACATTGTTCATTAGAAGCTGCAGTGAGTGAGATAGAGGCCTGCCTCATTTCCAGCCTGGAAGAGGTGTCCTGATCACCCCCATACCAGCGTTATGATCACCCCATACCCCACAGCAGTGTCCTGATCAACCCCATACCAGCGTTCTGATCACCGCCATATGCCATACCAGCATTTTTGATCACCCAATATGTCATACCAGTGTTCTGGTCACCCCTATACCAGCGTTATGATCACCCCATACCAGCGTTCTGATCACCACCATATGCTATACCAATGTCCTGATCACCGACATACCCCATACCAGCATCCAGATCACCACCATACCGAAGTCCTGATCACCACCATACCAGCATTGAGGGGAGTACTGAGGCAGAGTACTTTGATGTTTTCAGGAAGCTACTACAGCACCCTGCTGGCCCCTACCACCAGCCATGATCTGCTTGCATTGCATAAAGAAGCCACGGCTCTGATGAAGAGGACACTCCCATTAAAAAGGAGTCAGCCGTAACAAGCCTGGGTGGTCTCTTCCTATGACAAAGAGGAGGTGCAGTGGATCTTGCACTTTTGGTTTTGGAATATACTGATGAGCTTGTATACACTTTGTGTTTGTGAGTATACTATTTGCTTTCATTATATTTAAGTGGAGCTCCAGGCCCCCTCAAAAAAATGAAAAGTCAGCAGCTACAAATACTTTCTATGATTGCAGGAAAGATTTTCACATCATCTATGGGCTGCCTAAGTATCCCCAACAATATAATGGTTCCCCAGCATACTTTCCATACATTAAAAACAACACACTGTCATGTCAAGGCCTCTCTTATAAGCACAGTCCCTAATTCTAAACTGTCTGAGTTCTCAACTATGACAGCAATGCACAAACCCAGAGCTGGCTCACCTGGAAACTGCCCTTTCCTCCCTAAAAGGAAAAGCAACACACCAGAAGCCCAACATCGCTCAAGGCAGCAGAATACCCCAAGTGTGTGTCTGCACCCAACCCAAAAAAGCAACAATAACAACCGCTCCGATCAATTTAAAACTAGCAAAACGTCCCCAACAGGGACACAGATGGCAGGAAGAACATGATAGAGGATCCAGTTCTTCCCCTTCCTACATTCAAAACAAAACGTTTTGGCTGGAGATCGATTTTAATACGGCTGCACATGAAAGTGAGACCTGCTAGAGCAGCGGTTCTCAACCTGGGGGTCGCGACCCCTTTGGGGGTCGAACGATGCTTCCACAGGGGTCGCCTAAGACCATCGGAAAACACATATTTCCGATGGTCTTAGGAACCGAGACACCGCTCCTCGCCACCCGCCGCCGCCGTCTCCAGGTGTGGGCGGGATGACATGCCGCCCCTGTCATCTGGACACACCTCGAGATCAATCCTCGCCTGTGATTGGCCGCCGGCACTGTAGCTCAGGAGAGGCACACAGGCGGCCAATCACCGGCAAGGAGGTGGAGCTTGGAGAGGAGGAGCCGAGCGGCACCGCGAAGATCGAGCGAGTGAAGAGGAGAGAGCGGCCGGAGAAGGAAGACATCTGACAGGTAAGTGTCGGTACCATGGGAGAGGGAGGGAGCGAGCGAGCCCAGGCTGGAGCAGGGGTCTGCAAGGTAAGTATCATTGGTGTCAGTGGGAATAGTGCCCCATCATTGGTGTCACTAATACCAATGATGGGGCACTATTCCTCCCACTGACACCAACGATGGGACACTATTCCTCCCACTGACACCAATGATGGGGCACTATTCCTCCCACTGACACCAACGATGGGGCACTATTCCTCCCCCACATGACACCAACGATGGGGCACTATTCCTCCCCCACTGACACCAAGGATGGGGCACGATTCCTCCCCCCACTGACAGCAACGATGGGGCACAATTCCTCCCCCCACTGACACCAAGGATGGGGCACTATTCCTCCCCCCACTGACACCAAGGATGGGGTACTATTCCTCCCCCCACTGACACCAAGGATGGGGCACTATTCCTCCCCCCACTGACACCAAGGATAGGGCACTATTCCTCCCCCCACTGACACCAAGGATGGGGCACTATTCCTCCCCCCACTGACACCTATGATGGGGCACTATTCCCCCCACTGACAACTATGATGGGGCACTATTCCCCCCACTGACACCAATGATGGGGCACTATTCCCCCCACTGACACCTATGATGGGGCACTATTCCCCCCACTGACACCTATGATGGGGCACTATTCCCCCCACTGACACCTATGATGGGGCACTATTCCCCCCCACTGACACCTATGATGGGGCACTATTCCTCCCCCCACTGATACCAATGATGGGGCACTATTCCTCCTCCCACTGACACCAATGATGGGGCACTATTCCTCCCACTGACAGCAATGATGGGGCACTATTCCTCCCACTGATACCAATGATGGGGCACTATTCCTCCCACTGATACCAATGATGAGGCACTATTCCTCCCACTGACACCGATGATGGGGCACTATTCCTCCCACTGACACCGATGATGGGGCACTATTCCTCCCACTGACACCGATGATGGGGCACTATTCCTCCCACTGATACCGATGAAGGGGCACTATTCCTTCCACTGATACCGATGATGGGGCACTATTCCTCCCACTGACACCGATGATGGGGCACTATTCCTCCCACTGATACCGATGACGGGGCACTATTCCTCACACTGATACCGATGACGAGGCACTATTCCTCACACTGATACCCAGGCACTATTCCTCCCACTGACACCGATGACGAGGCACTATTCCTCCCACTGACACCAATGATGGGGCACTATTCCTCCCACTGATACCAATGACGGGGCACTATTCCTCCTCCCACTGATACCAATGACGGGGCACTATTCCTCCCACTGACACCAATGATGGGGCACTATTCCTCCCACTGATACCAATGATGGGGCACTATTCCTCCCACTGATACCAATGATGGGGCACTATTCCTCCCACTGATACCAATGATGAGGCACTATTCCTCCCACTGACACCTATGATGGGGCACTATTCCCCCCACTGACACCAATGATGGGGCACTATTCCTCCCCCCACTGACACCAATGATGGGGCACTATTCCTCCTCCCACTGACACCTATGATGGGGCACTATTCCTCCTCCCACTGACACCTATGATGGGGCACTATTCCTCCCACTGATACCGATGATGGGACACTATTCCTCCCACTGATACCGATGATGAGGCACTATTCCTCCCACTGACACCGATGATGGGGCACTATTCCTCCCACTGACACCGATGATGGGGCACTATTCCTCCCACTGACACCGATGATGGAGCACTATTCCTCCCACTGACACCAATGACGGGGCACTATTCCTCCCCACTGACACCAATGACGGGGCACGATTCCTCCCACTGACACCAATGAAGGGGCACTATTCCTCCCACTGACACCAATGACGGGGCACTATTCCTCCCACTGATACCAATGATGGGGCACTATTCCTCCCAATGACACCAATGACGTGGCACTATTCCTCCTACTGCAAAGTTACAGTTATGAAGTAGCAACGAAAATAATTTTATGGTTGGGGGTCACCACAGCATGAGGAACTGTATTAAGGGGTCGCGGCGCTAGAAAGGTTGAGAACCACTGTGCTAGAGGGTTGGGAGCTCCTCACCACCCCAATGGACACATACTGTCCCCCCATTACTGTCTACTGACAGAGGAGGGGGGAGAAGAAGAGATTGTTGTAGTGACTGAACAAGGAGGATCTGGGACTCTTCTCTGGATTTAGTGTTTATTCCTCACCTGGGCTGATCTCTGGAGGCATCTCCTCCTCCTTACATGGATCATCACCCCTCACATTTGTCTCATGTTCTTCATTTATTACTGTTCAACTACACTATGGAAACCAACACAGCAGGATGAATGCCCAATGAGAGGCAACCTAAAAATGTTTTCCATATTTTGTTTTACCTGTGCTGATCTTTATAGGAATGTCCTCCTCTTTAATCCTCGCATGTCCTTCTTCCTCCTCCTCAGCTTTGACATCTCTCCCAGTATCTCTGGTGTCTCCGGAGTCTGTGAATAAAGAGGAGAGTGAAGCCCCCTGTACTGAGATGTATGAGAGGGGAGTCTGGTCACCACTCTTGGCTGGTAATACACGACATGACATGAGGGGCAACGAGGCAATAAGCCCCCCAAAAAAACAAAACAAACAACCTCCTGCGCTCAAGGTGGATGATCCGGCAAACCTTGTGTCTTCGTCAACTAAGCAGGACTTTGCAGCCCCCTGAGGACTGGAGAAGCCCAAAAAGTTGGCTCTGAGGAGGAGGATACCTACTCTCAAAACAAGTACGGCATTTGGAGCGTCTTCCCTATGTTGGGATTGCCACAGTGGACCAAGTTGTGGGGGATACCAGGAATATTGAATTTGATATCATATGCTGTTTGTAAGCACACAACTGTTTAATTCTTCAGTAAGGAGTTTTTAAAGGTGATGAACAAGGCTGGTGTGCCCTCTGCTTTTGGTTTTCCCCAGGGACAGGAAAAGTGCTGAAATGTTCAAATTCGATCAAAATTTAAAAATTCGTTCAGCAGGGACCAGACATATTTCAGTGAGCGTGTGGTCATCCCCACTCGATTGGACACTTTTTCTTGATCAGCAGCTGCTGATCAATGGCAGTAGCATGTGCCACGATTAGACTACAAATGCCCCATCCTCCATCCACCTTGTATATTGAGAAATCTGTTAGGTTTTTCTTTTTTCAGCCAGCGGGTTGACCAAGGGAAAAAAAAAAATCTAACAGTGTATGGCCAGCCTAATAGAGGCTGATGGCTCCTAACTCCCCTACCGGGCAAACACTGTGGTCTGTCCTTGCTACACGTTTCCCCATGTGTAACTCGACATGTAGCTAAACCCTCATATTCCGTAACAAGCCAGACTGAATGTAATCTTGAAGCTTTATTAACAAAATGGTGTTCTGTGAAACTATTCAGAAAAAAAACAGATGAGAAATACAGTACATACAATCAATGTAAGGACATACAGAAAACAAAATGAATAGTTAGGCTATAGATGGTGATAAGTGATTCTCAGCAGCGATGCTGCCTTTAGGAGATGCAAATCTTAGTCCAATATGGCTCCTTCTCTCCCAGTTTCTAAGATGGAGTCTGAGCTCCCAAGAAGTATCTCCTTCCTTTCTCGCAGAATTATGGGAAGTTTTATTAACTCTTAACTTTACCTAAACAGTCTCTAGTTTCTGTAAAACAATGAATTTATTACCAGCTCCATCTAGTGGCCACATTTGATATTGCAGGCAGGACAGGCATATGATATTCCCCTACTGGAGGCAGAACATAAGGTCTCCCCATTACTGTCTACTGACAGAGGAGGGGGGAGGAGAAGAGATTGTTGTAGTGACTGAACAAGGGGGATCTGGGACTCTTCTCTGGATTTAGTGTTTATTACTCACCTGTGCTGATCTCTGGAGGAATTACCCCCTCCTTACACGGATCATCACCTTTTGTCTCATGTTCTTCTTTAATATTAATCTCCTGTGCTTCGATTTCTTTAGCAATAGAATTTCCATCCTTCATAAAAAAAAAATAGTAACTATCCCAAACTAAATGTTATCATTTGACAGACCAACTTAAAGCGTGTATACTACCAATGTGCTTCCTAAACCCAATCAAGGAGCAAATATATTTGGATATATAAACTTATATATAAAAAAAAAATGCTTCTGATCGCATCACGGCATTTGCAAGTCTTCTGACCTCATCACGGCATTTGCTAGTCTTCTGACCTCATCACTGCATTTGGAAGTCTTCTGAGCTCATCACGGCATTTGGAAGTCTTCTGACCTCATCGCGGCATTTGGAAGTCTTCTGACCTCATCGCGGCATTTGGAAGTCTTCTGATCTCATCGCGGCATTTGGAAGTCTTCTGACCTCATCGCGGCATTTGGAAGTCTTCTGATCTCTTCGCTGCATTTGGTAGTCTTCTGACCTCATCAACGCATTTGGAAGTCTTCTGATCTCATCACGGCATTTGGAAGTCTTCTGAGCTCATCAACGCATTTGGAAGTCTTCTGATCTCATCACGGCATTTGGAAGTCTTCTGACCTCATCAAAGCATTTGGAAGTCTTCTGATCTCATCGCTGCACTTGGAAGTCTTCTGATCTCATCGCGGCATTTGGAAGTCTTCTGACCTCATCACGGCATTTGGAAGTCTTCTGACCTCACCACGGCATTTGGAAGTCTTCTGACCTCATCACGGCATTTGGAAGTCTTCTGAGCTCATCGCGGCATTTGGAAGTCTTCTGATCTCATCGCGGCATTTGGAAGTCTTCTGATCTCATCGCTGCATTTGGTAGTCTTCTGACCTCATCAACGCATTTGGAAGTCTTCTGATCTCATCAAGCATTTGGAAGTCTTCTGATCTCATAACGGCATTTGGAAGTCTTCTGACCTCATCAGAGCATTTGGAAGTCTTCTGATCTCATCGCTGCATTTGGAAGTCTTCTGACCTCATCACGGCATTTGGAAGTCTTCTGACCTCATCACGGCATTTGGAAGTCTTCTGACCTCATCACGGCATTTGGAAATCTTCTAATCTCATCACTGCATTTGGAAATCTTCTGATCTCATCATGGCATTTGGAAGTCTTCTGACCTCATCAGAGCATCTGGAAGTCTTCTGATCTCATTGCTGCATTTGGAAGTCTTCTGATCTCATCAACGCACGTGGAAGTCTTCTGATCTCATCACTGCATTTGGAAGTCTTCTGATCTCATCACTGTATTTGGAAGTCTTCTGACCTCATCACGGCATTTGTGGAGTGTTCTGCTTTGATCTCACCATAGGATATTTCACTTATGAACATTTTGAGATTAATTATTTTTCAAATTTTTATCATGATTTCTCTTTGGAATGTTTTAAGCGGTGCACTTTATTTGACCACTGTTTATGAGGTCCCTGGTATCAAGGTACGGTGTTCAGCTGCTCTGTTGGGGTCTATTTCTCTTAGTGCAGATTTTGGGTTATATTTAAGAGATAGGACCACCTTTATGGAGGCCTTACAGCCTCCATACCTCTGACAGGGAGTGAATACAAGTAACCAACAAAATCAGTAATCCTTCAAACGTAAGCTTGTATTCTTATAGCAATTCAAAAGTGAAAGTTCAATTTATTACAGAAGCCCTTTGGTGACTTTTTTTTTATATATAGCTCTTCCTCTCAGTGATTATTTGACAAACCTTTTAGTTCTATCTACCTGATCATCCTGAGGGATCTCCTGATGTTCCTGTGTGGAGTCCCAGGAATACAGAGGATGGGAATATCTTTCTAAGGTATTTCTGGATCCATCTATAGAAAACACATATATGATAACAGAAGTATAATTATTATTATTATTATACAGTATTTTATAAAGCGCCAATAGTTTGCTCAGCGCTGTACATTACAAAGGGGGACAGAACATGTGACAGAACAATACCAATACAATGCAAAACATGAGGGGATTGAGGACCCTGCTCTTTCGAGCTTACATGATGTTATATTTGCAAGTGCTGGACGGTGTGGAGAAGAGTTAACCACTTCAGCCCCGAGCCGTTTCTGGCACTTTTTGTTCACATTTTAAAATCAGTATTTTTTGCTAGAAAACATCTTAGAACCCCCAAATATTACATATTTTCAAAGCAGAGGCCCTAAAGAATAAATTGGTGGTTTTTGCAATTTTTTTTTATGTCACACGGTATTTGCGCAACGGTTTTTCAAACTCAATCAGGGTCCCAAACTAAAAAAAAAATAATTTTAACCAAAACCATATTTAAATGATGTCTTTATTTTTATACTATTACTGAATGAGACAGTTATATCACTAGGGATTTTCAATGGATATATGTCCCTTTAAACCATGAAATGACTTTGCCAGGATTGAAAATATGAATGGTTGATGTTTAATATTAGGCGGTGATATGGGGAGGTGATATTAGGAATATCTGGGCTTTTAAAAACAAAAAAGAGGCTTTATGGCAACCTAAATTTTTTATATTTTTAACATTGCGCTGTTTATCTCCTCCTCCCCTCCTGCCTGTCTGCAGCACCGCACTCAAAGTCCCCATCTTTACCCCTATACATCAGAGTCCCCCCTTACATCAGTGTCCAGTGGAGTCCCTGCTTACATCAGACCCTGGTTTAGTGCCCTCTTTAGTCAGAGTTCAGCGGAGTGCCCCCTTAGTCAGAGCTCAGCGGGGTGCCCCCTTTAGTCAGAGCTCAGCGGTGTGCCCCCTTTGGTCATTGCTCAGTGCAGTGCCCCCTTTAGTCAGAGCTCAGCGGAGTGCCCCCATTAGTCAGAGCTCAAATGGCGACAAATGGTGTAAATTTTACTATTCATAAACAAAGCTTTAAAAGCCTTTACAGGTTACCACTTTAGGTTTACAGAGGAGATCTGGTGCTAGAATTACTGCCCATGAGCTGATGATCGCAGCGATACCTCACATGTGTGGGCCGATCGCTGTTTGCATGCGTGCAGGACCAACACATGTGTTCGCCTTTGCGCATGAGCATGGGGAGGGTAGGGGCACTTTTATTTTTTTTTTCTCATTGGCATTTTTTTAATTTATTTTTACACTGTCACTTTAAATGTTTTTTTTTTTGATCACTGCAATTGCTGTCACGAGGAATGTAAACATCCCCTGTGACAGCAATCAACACGTGACAGGTATTTTTATGGAGGGACCTGGGGTCTATGAGACCCCAAATCCCTCCTCTGCACTTGAAAGCATTCAAAACACCAAAATCGGTGTTTTTGAATGTTTTTAAATTTTTTAAAATGGCGTAGAAAGTTTCCAAGTAAACTGGAAGTGATGTCAGATCATCGCTTCCGGTTTACAATGAAGGAGAGACGAACAAAGCCGATTTGGCTTTGTTCAGCTGTCTGGAGTATTCAAGATCCCGAGAGAACGGCGGGAAGCAGGGGGGGAGAGGAACGTCCCCTCTTGCTGCTTGCAAAAGCAATCCGCTCCAATTGCTTGTACAAGAGAGCTGACCACTGGCTTTACAAAAAACGATACCTGGGTGATGCCGGGTTGTACCGGGTCATGCAGCTACAGGGATCACTCCGGGACCCCCATGGATAGTCCAGCGACGTACTGGTCTGAAAGTGGTTAAACTCTCTGTCAAGATAGGTGTCATCCATCTATTTATCCTGCTGACCAATGCAAGAAAATGTGGGGGAAAAACAAAATTTTTCAAATTTTGTCAGTTGTCCCCAGAATCTTCCTTTTTCCAGGGACAACTGTCCAAGAGGAGAATTCTCCTCACTTTTGGTACAAGCATGCAAAAATAAAAAAAAAACTGGCAAGGGTTTTAACCCTTCCCTTCTCTATGCAAAACTGAAAATAAAGTCCTTTTTATACACACAGTTCAATATTATGGTTGGTTTTTTAATGAGAAGCAACTAAGGGTGCACCGAAATTTCGGTGGCTGAAACGTTTCGCCGAAAAACACCCCCTTTCGGCCGATATGAAAAAAAGCACCGATACAGGTGCCGAAAATAACCCCGCTCCCTCACCGCTGCTGCCCCTCGTCGTCGATTTTTAAGTACCACAGTTTGATGCCATTCCACGAGCGTGCGCCATTTTAAAGCGTGACATGCTGGGTATCTATTTACTCATCGTAACATCATCTTTTATATTTTACAAAAAATTTGGGGTATATATTGGTTTTTTTTTAATTATTAAAGTGTATTTTCTTCCAAAATATATATAATAATTTTTTAAATAGTCCATTTCGGTTTTCGGCCAAGTGCATCCTGAATTTTTGGTTTCGGTATCAGAATTTTCATTTCGGTGCATCACTAGAAGCAACCTAAAAGTAGATATGTTTTCCATAATAAATTAGACTCACCTCTACTAATCTGTAAAGGAACGTCCTCCTTTTTAATCCTCACATGTCCTTCTTCCTTCTCCTCAGCTTTAATGTCTGTGCTGATCTCTGGAGGAATTTCCTCCTCCTTACATGGATCATCAGTCCTCATAGATGGCTCTTCTGCAGCTTCAGCTTTGACAACAATCATACCTTCACCCTGGATAGGACAAAACAGTTTTATAACAAGATGAAACTCAAGAATATCTACATAAAGATCAGGTGGGATTTATCCTGCAAAGTCAGGCAAGGGACAATATCCACAGGGCAACACTGCTGATTCATGCACTCAGCAAATGGCAAATACCGAGCTATCAATCCTGACCCTGGTATCAATCTTTTCAGCAGGCGACACTGAAAAAAGTAAAAAGTGACCCAAGCACCTAAATAGCCTCTGAATCACCTTCACATACAATGGAATGGGGGTTTGCCTCCTTCCCGGGCTCTCCCCGTCCCACCAGGGAGCCTAAGATTCAAGCTGGCGGTTCTGCCGGCTTACCATAGAGATGGCCAAGGACCAAAACATCCCTGATCATCTCTATGGTCTAAAAAACCATAAGCGATGAGTATTTTGTCACTTCCAGTTTTGGGCTAATATAATCAGGCCGTTACCAGTCTATAAAAGCATCGTATCAAACTGATCTTGGTGCCCCCAGATCTTTAATTAAAGAGAACCTGTCACTGCCCATGCTATCAAAAGGGATATTGTTCATTCCATGTGATAGCAATATAAGTGATTAAGAAAAATGAAAGAGACAGTGTAAAAATAAAAAAATAAATGAATTAAAAAAACTTAGCTCCTGACCTCCTGTGTAACTCTAAACTGGTAACCTGAAAAGGCTTTTAAAGCGTCGCCTATGGAGATTTTTAAGTACCGTAGTTGGTCGCCATTCCACAAACATGTGCAATTTTAAAGCGGGACATGTTAGGTATCTATTTACTCAAGCATTTGCCAAGCAATTTGGGTAATTTTCTGCATTAAAATTCAATAAAGTGCGTCTTTTCCAAATGCATTTGAAAAAACACTGCGCAAATACTGTGTGGCATAAAAAAAATTGCAACACCAGCCATTTTCTTCTCTACGGCCTCTGCTTAAAAAAATATGTTTTGGGGTTTCTAAGTAAGCTTCTAAGTAGCCGATTTTATATTTATGTGAGAAATGTTAGAATAGGCTTGGAAAACAAGTGGTAAAAGTGTTACTAAACCCCGGACCCTGCATTCACTATATCCTCTCTCCCCAGACCCCGCATTACCTATATCCTCTCTCCCCGGACCCTGCATTCACTATATCCTCTCTCCCCGGACCCTGCATTCACTATATCCTCTCTCCCCGGACCCCGCATTCATTATATCCGCTCTCCCCGGACCCAGCATTCACTATATCCGCTCTCCCCAGACCTCGCATTCACTATATCCGCTCTCCCCGGACCCCGCATTCACTATATCCGCTCTCCCCGGACCCGGCATTCACTATATCCGCTCTCCCCGACTCGGCATTCACTATATCCGCTCTCCCTGGACCCGGCATTCACTATATCCTCTCTCCCCGGACCCGGCATTCACTATATCCTCTCTCCCCGGACCCTGCATTCACTATATCTGCTCTCCCCGGACCCTGCATTCACTATATCTGGGCTCCCCGCACCCTGCATTCACTATATCCGCTCTCCCCGGACCCTGCATTCACTATATCCGCTCTCCCCTATATTACTTGGTGTAACATCATCTTTTATATTTTAAACTGTTTCTATAACTCTTTAATGCAACTTACGAATTCTGCCGCTGAAGAGCGCTACTATGTGTGTTTAACCCTCTGTATAACCTGTCTGCGGTGACAGTGCTATACAGACAATTAATCCAATCGCCTAGTGTTATTGCTGATATTGCTGAGTTTCCTCTTTCTCTGTACAAAAAGGAGGTGGTGGTGGCAGTGTGAGGGGTTAATTGCGTAATTAACCTGACCCAGTAACAATTGTGCTCAGGCTGCCGGTACATCGATTTGTGGTCCAATAGCTGGAAAATCGTTGTGCAGGGTGCAGCTGGGCGTGGCATTGTTACGCAAGTGACATCGCGGTTTTAGATTGGCTAGTCCTTCGGTCACGAGTTTGGTGAGAAGGTCTGGGGTCTGACGCGTGATTGTCACAGCATTCACTATATCCGCTCTCCCCGGACCCTGCATTCACAATATCCACTCTCTCCGGACCCTGCATTCACTATATCCTCTCTCCCCAGAACCTGCATTCACTATATCCTCTCTCCCCGGACCCTACACTCACTATATCCGCTCTCCCCGGACCCTGCATTCACTATATCCGCTCTCCCCGGACCCTGCATTCACTATATCCTCTCTCCCCGGATCCTGCATTCATTATATCCGCTCTCCCCGAACCCTGCATTCACTATATCCTCTCTCCCCGGACCCTGCATTCACTATATCCTCTCTCCCCGGACCCCGCATTCATTATATTCGCTCTCCCCAGACCTCGCATTCACTATATCCGCTCTCCCCGACCCCGCATTCACTATATCCGCTCTCACCCGGCATCCGCTATCCGCTCCCCCGGACCCGGCATTCACTATATCCGCTCTCCCCCTCCCGGACTCGGCATTCACTATATCCGCTCTCCCCGGACCCGGCATTCACTATATATCCTCTCTCCCCGGACCCGGCATTCACTATATCCGCTCTCCCCGGACCCTGCATTCACTATATCTGGTCTCCCCGGACCCTGCATTCACTATATCTGGGCTCCTCGCGGACCCTGCATTCACTATATCTGCTCTCCCGGACCCTGCATTCACTATATCCGCTCTCCCCGGACCCTGCATTCACTATATCCGCTCTCCCCTATATTACTTGGTGTAACATCATCTTTTATATTTTAAAATATACTTTCTCTTCCTGGCTCATTTATTCTGAGCTTTTAAGGTGGATCACTTAAGTGATTTTATTTGCTATACAAATACTTGGAGTGGAATTTTCCCTGGAGTCCGGAGAGTAGCAGTGGATGATCAGCTAATGTGCGGACCTATGCCAGATGATCCCCGTGGTAACCCTAGGACGATGATGACCAGGAGTGGTCTGAGTTACTCAGAGGCGCTTTTTATTGTGCTATCTGGTTAGTGCAATATATTCTCATTTCCACAACTCACTTGGAGCACGTTTTTAACCAATCTGTTTAATGGACTTTTTATTATCACCTATGCACCATTTGCGCCATAACCAGACGCAATCTATTTACTCACTGTTGCGCCAATTAGCGCACTCATATATCATTATTTGGTAGGACTGTATACAGCCTGGCAGCCTAAAACGCTAATTTATTAATATTTGCTGTTTGCATATGAACGTTTATATAAGCGCATTCACTTTGATTTTTGAGATTATATATATATATATATATATATCAGTATGTCTGTTTAGAGCGCTGCATTTTCTATTTATTTTTTATATATATATATTATTGAAATATATTTTGACATATATTGAATATGGCCAAAATTGTAGCATTTCAAATATATGTCAATATATTTGGGAAGAATATTTTTAAAAATATATTTCAAATATATTTTCCTTCCATGTGGGAAGGACGCCGCTCTAAACCGCTCATGGAATCTAGTGTGAAGATGGCCTCAGCCGTCGCTCCGGCAACGTCCACTAACACGTTTCGCCCTGCCAATGGGGCTTGGTCACAGAGCTGCGCTCTCATGGCTGCGTCAGCATAGGCTGCAAGTACTGTCAGCCATTGCGACTGATGGCTTGTAGATCTCCATGAACTGTGAAGGCGCTGGTGGATCATTGAAGTAACTTCCTGTCCGTATCGGAGGTACAGGCAGACAGCTCTCCTGAGAGTCTGCAGGAGCCTGGCATTGCACCTACGATCAGCTGATGGTTGGTGCAATGCTCTGCAGGCTCCTTAAAAATAAATAATAATAAATGCACATTTTCCCTGAAAACAAAAAAGAAAAAGTAAATTTATTCTTTTTTTTTTCAAAAAGTGAATTTATCCTTTAAGACATCCTGAGAAAATAGCAAGAGCACATGCTTGTTAGTCTGCTGCCGGAATTTGTCATTATACCCGCCTCTCTCTCTCTTTTTTTGTACTCTATTGTCTGAAGGTTTCACAAACCAAAAAAAAAAAATGAACAAGAAACTCCAGAATATAATGACCTACCTGATCCTCCTGAGGGATCTCCTGATGTTCCTGAGGGATCTCCTGATGGTCTTGTGTGGAGTCCCGGGAATAGAGAGGACGGGGACATCTCTCTGGTGGGTTCCCATTACTGGATCCATCTGTAGGAAACACACACACTGACTGAATACATTGTTTCTATGTCTTTATATCAGAGGATGTGTGTATCTAGGTGGAGCCTCAATACAAGAAATTAAAGTCTCCTCTTACCCGATGATGCGAGGGGCGGCCGGTTCTCCATCATGACGTCCTCATACAGATCTTCCTTCACTTGCACTTGTAAAGTCCTGTAAAAGTTCAGTAATGTGGCATCAGATCTGGACGCAGCCAATCAGTAACCCCATGTGTACTTCGGACTAAACTAAGAGACTCCCACTCCAGGAAGTCTGTGAAATCCATTGCAGCTCCTCCCATCCTCCTCCTCTGGGCTACAACAAAATGGCCACCCCATCCTTCTGCACTGAGGACCAATCACGCATTTATAGCATGCAGATGAGTTCCCAGCCTCTCCAATAGTTCCCAGCTACAGCTAGAATTTTTTTAACCACTTGCCGACCGCGCATAGCCGAATGACGGCTTCACCGCGGCCGGCCAGTTCTGAGTGGACGTCATATGACGTCCTCCCAGAACGCGCTCTCCTGCGCGCCCCAGGGGCGCGCACCCCCGGCGATCTCCGTGATCGCTGTGTCCTACGGACACAGCTGATCACGAGATGTGGTGAAAGGCCGATCCCACCGGCCTTTTACCACGTGATCAGCGGTGTCCAATGACACGCTGATCACAGGAAAATGCAAGTGCCGGTTCTCGGCTGCACTTTCCTCACGCTGTCAGATCGTGAGGAAAGTACTGCCGAGAACCGGCAGTTGTCAGAGCGGGGATCGGCACCGATCATCAGGGCACTGATGATCAGTGCCCTGATGATCGGTGCCCAGCAGTGACCCCCGCAAGTTCCGATCAGCTGTGCGCCCCACTAGCCCCGCCCACCCATTCCCAGCAGTGCCCCCACCTGTGCCCAGCAGTGCCCCCACCTGTGCCCAGCAGTGCCCCCACCTGTGCCACTCTGCAGTGCCACCTACCTGTGCCCAGCAGTGCCACCTACATGTGCCCAGCAGTGCCACCCACCTGTGCCCACCCACCTGTGCCCACCAGCGCCACCCACCTGTGCCCACCAGTGCCACCCACCTGTGCCCACCCACCAGTGCTGTCCACCAGTGCCACCCACCAGTGCCACCCACCAGTGCTGCCAGTCAGTGCCACCAGTCAGTGCCCAGGGGTTGTGCCAGTCAGTGCCGCCAGTCAGTGCCCAGAAGTGATGCCAGTCAGTGCCGTCTATCAGTACCCATCATCAGTGTCACCTATCAGTGCCGCCTATCAGTGCTGCATATCAGTGCCGCCTATCCGTGACCCCTAATTAGTGCTGTCTATCAGTGCCGCCTATCCGTGCCACCTCATTAGTACTGCCTATCAGTGCCCTTTAGTGCTGCCTATCAGTGCCCATCAGTGCCGCCTATCAGTGCCCATCAGTGCCGCCTCATCAACGCAAATCAGTGAAGGAGAAAAAATACCTGTTTGAAAAATTTTATAAAAGAAACAAATAAACTTTTTTATTTTTTTCAAATTTTTTGCACTTTTTTTAATTTATAGCGCAAAAAGTAAAGCGCCCAGTGGCGATTAAATACCACCAAAAGAAGGCTCTATTTGTGAGAAAAAAATGATCAAAATTTCATATGGGTACAATGTTGCATGACCGCGCAATTGTCAATCAAAGTGCGGCAGCGCTGAAAGCTGAAAATTGGCCTGGTAAGGAAGGGGGTATAAGTGCCTGGTAGGCAAGTGGTTAATTATTATTATTAAATACCGTAAACCGGTCCTAGGATGATGTCCTGTGTGGTCACAGGGAGCTCCACATCAGAGGAGACAATACAAGGGGATCACCTCCATCCATCACTACTACAAAGAGCATCACGTGGGGGGAACTACAATCCCAGCAAGCCAATAGCAGATATAGGACTACAAGTCCCAGCCTTCCAGTAGCAAATATAGAACTACAAATCCCAGCAATCCAATAGCAGATATAGAACTACAGGTCCCAGCAATCCAATAGCAGATATAGAACTACAAGTCCCAGCAATCCGATAGCAGATACAGAACTACAAGTCCCAGCATTCCAATAGCAGATATAGGACTACAGGATCCTAGGCATGCAGACTGCTTCTACAAACATTGGTGAAAGAATGGGTCGCTCTCAGGAGCTCAGTGATTCCAAGCGTGGTCCCATGATAGGTGGCCACCTGTGCAATAAGTCCATCCGTCACATTTCCTGGCTACCAAATATTCCATGCTCAACTGTTAGTGCGATTGTAACAAAGTGGAAGCAACTGGGAACAACAGCAACTCAGCCACCAAGTGGTAGGCCATGTCACATGACAGGGCGGGGTCAGTGCATGCTGAAGTGCACCATGCACAGAAGTCGCCAACTGTCTGCAGAGTCAATAGCTAAAGATCTCCAAACTTGGTGTGGCCTTCAGATGAGCCCAACAACAGTGCGTAGAGAGCTTCACGGAATGGGTTTCCATGGCCGAGCAACTGCATCCAAGCCTTACATCACCAAATGCAATACAAAGCATCGGATGCCGTGGTGTAAAGCACGCCGCCACTGGACTCTAGAGGGGTGGAGACGTATTCTCTGGAGTGACCAATCACATTCTCTGTCTGGCAATCCGATGGATGTGTATGGGTTTGGCGGTTGCCAGGAGAACGGTACTTGCCTGACTGCATTGTGCCAAGTGTAAAGTTTGGTGGAGAGGGGATTATGGTGTGGGGTTTTTTTTTTCAAGGGTTGGGCTTGGCCCCCTATTTCAGTGAAGGAAACTCTTAAGGCGTCAGTATACGAATACATTTTGGACAATTTCATGCTCCCAAATTTGTGGGAAGAGTTTGGGGATGGTCCCTTCCTGGTCCAACATGACTGAACACCATTGCACAAAGCAAGGTCCATAAAGACATGGAGGAACCAGCATGGGGTGGAGGAACTTGACTGGCCTGCACAGAGTCCTGACCTCAACCCCATAGAACACCTTTTGGATTAGAGCGGAAACTGCGAGCCAGGCCTTCTCGTCCGACATCCGTGCCTGACCTGACAAATATGCTTCTGGAAGAATGGTCAAACCTTCCCATAGACACCCTCCTAAACCCTGTGGAGGGCCTTCCGAGAAGGGTTGAAGCTTTTATAGCTGCAAAGGGCGGGGCCAACTCAATACTGAACCATACGGACTAAGACTGGGAGGCCATTAGAGTTCATGTGCGTGGAAAGGCAGGCGGCCCAATACTTTTGGCAATATAGTAACAGAGAGAAAACAAAGGCAGACATTTTTGAAGACCAGCCTGGGTGACAACCATGGCTCCTTTCATAGATACAGTGGGGAAGTGAGTGTAGCCACCCAGGCAAGGGAGGGTATTACTGCAATAAGAAGCCGGAGGCAGGCAGTGTGCAAGCTGCAACTGCCCAATGGAAATGAGGGGACTGTCCAGCAGAAAGACAGCCACTTGACTGCTACGACTCCCTCAGGACTAGATTAATGGTGTCCATCACCCCCAGCAGAGCCCCCCATCCAATATTCTCCACTATTATGACCCTCAGAGGTACCGACTGCTCTAGCCTTGGAGTGACAAAATCATGGTTGTGGCTTTCTGGGGAATACATCCCCAGCACCATCAGCCATGGAGAGGCTTACTCTCAGCCCCAGGGGAGCTCACCATCATCTCGAGTGAAGATCACCATTTTCCCCAAAGGAGCTCACCCTCAGCACCATTCCAGTTCACCATCAGCCCCACAGGAGCTCCCAAACAGCTATATAAGAGCTCACTATCAGCCCCAAAACAGCTCACCATCCTCAGAGAAGCTCATCATCAGTCCCAGAGAAACTCACCATCATTCTCAGAGGAGCTCACGATCATTCTCAGAGGAGCACACCATCATTCTCAGAGGAGCTCACCATCTTCCTCAGAGGAGCTTACCATCTTCCTCAGAGGAGCTCACCATCATTCTCAGGAGTTCACCATCAGCGCCAGAGGAGCTCAACATTATTCTCAGAGAAGCTCACCATCATCCTAAGAGGAGCTCACCATCATCCTCAGAGGAGCTCATCATCCGCACCAGAGGAGCTCAACATTATTCTCAGAGAAGCTCACCATCATCCTAAAAGGAGCTCACCATCTTCCTCAGAGGAGCTCGCCACCAGCCTCAGAGGAGCTCACCACCATTCTCAGAGGAGCTCACCACCATTCTCAGAGGAGCTCACCATCATTCTCAGAGGAGCTCACCATCATCCTCAGAGAAGCTCACCATCAGAAGCTCACTATCATTCTCAGAGGAGCTCACCACCAGCCTCAGAGGAGCTCACCATCATCCCCAGAGGAGCTCACCATCATCCTCAGAGAAGCTCATCATCATTCTCAGAGGAGCTCACCATCATCCTCAGAGAAGCTCATCATCATTCTCAGAGGAGCTCACCATCAGCCTCAGAGGAGCTCACCATCATCCCCAGAGGAGCTCACCATCATCATCAGAGGAGCTCACCATCATCCTCAGAGGAGCTTACCATCCCCCAGCAGAGCTCCCATCCAATGTTCTCCACTTCAGAGGAAGATGAGGATGTGTGGAGGTGACATTACCCCCCCCCCCCCATCCAGTCCACACACAGTGCTGGGACCCCCTTCTCTCATAATAAGAAGACACCACACTCACATCCCCTCCAAGAGGATTCTCACACTGCTTCAGTTCCTTCCATGAGCTACGACAAAATGGCCGCCAAATAGAGAGGGGTTTTTTTTTTTTGTCGCAGCTCTTTTCACTCTACCGTTTGCACTGGATACGTGACCAGTAGGGCCATTGCAGGGAGCTAAGATGTATTTCACCGTCTGGAGTCAGAAAGAGTTTCCATTCTAAGGGGGAAAAAAAGCGTCCTCAGGGCTGGGGAGGTGGCGGCCATTTTGTTGTAGATCTAAGGAAAAGGAGAACGATTCCAGCAATAGAAGAATTCTCCTGGTGGGGATGTGAGTGTGGAGAGTGTGAGCCCAGTGAGGAGGAGGTAATAATGTCTTCTTATTATGAGAGAAGGGGGTGAGAGAAGGGGGGATCCCAGCACTGTGGGGCTGATGGTGAGCTGTGGGAGCTGGATGGGGGGGATCATATCCTGGGGCTGCTGAAACCTCCACACATCCTCATCTTCCTGCAACTCCTCTGATGGGAGAGGGGATGATGGTGAGCTCCTCTGATGGGGATGGTGA